TCTGTTCACCTTTCACATGAAGGATCTCAGGAGGCTGGAGAAGAGGACTGCAGGAATCCAATTACCTGAAATCAACTTGGAAACAAGAGGGAGGCATTGTTAATAGAGATAATCTCCTCCTCAGGCTTACGGGGCTTCTCTGTCTCAGTGCAAAGACATTCTGCCTGGACAGTAAAATCAGCATACCTGATTTCCTGATTAAAATGTGCAACAGAAAAATAGCAAAGAATGCACTTCCCATCTAAAGTTGTAGCTTTTGGCAGACAGAAGCTGCCCCAAGCAGATAAACATTTGCAATCCCAACTATATTATGACGATGTAACATGGCTGATATACAACTTACCAAATGTCTTTTGCTGTTCACTTCCCAGATTTCACTTCAAGCCATAGAAGTTTTCAGCTTGAAAGATTGTTTCATACAGTATTTTTTGTATTTTTTTTTTTTCCTTTGCTGCAAAGTGCAGGAGTGGGACACTTGGAGTCAGACAATTTTAATGCTGCTGTAGCAGTTTCCTAAGGCACCAGAGGAAAATGCATGGTATTATCTTGGAATTTCAGTCTGCTTTTGCTGCTCACAGTAATCAATAACCATTAGAATTACTGCTGGTAGTATCTGCCTAGATAATTCTCAGGCTTTTCCAGAAATCAGAATAGATAAAGCAAAGTTGTCATGTTGTAACTTTTTATTTTTCCTTTTTAACTCTAAGTCAAGATTTGCTTTGAAGAAAAGAAAAAAAAACTTGTCAGTAGAGAAGCAGGATGGGATGGAAGTAACATCTATCCAGCTGAACAAATCCAGGATTTAGTATTAGAATAAAACCTAATTGGTTTGAATTATCTCAGATGCACTGAAGACCTCCCCTCATGTTTCAGAGTGAGCACCACTCTGAAGCACCCAGATCCATCATTCCATTAAAGACAAAAATTATATCTGACTTAGAACACTTCCATAACCTTTAAAATCTGTTTTACAGTTCATTTTCTCTGGTAGGTTTTGGAAGCCTGGATATTACCTGCCAAGTTGTCATAAGTAATTATACGTTTGTTAACTTATTGCTCCTAATAAACAACAGGAAATATTCATGATGAGTTTCATTTTCCCCTTAAAAAAAATATTTAATAACTGCTTTGATTAAATATTAAAGCTTTCTTTTGCTGTTACAACCAGACAAGAAATTCCAAATATCAGTGAAATAGTTTGTGCACATTCTTTTTACAACCTGGTTGTGTTGCTGGACTTTATAGATTAAAACACCATTGATCAGGATAATTTCTAGGTGGTCAGGTAGAGACTGAGGGGGCTGGCTGTATGATGGCTCAGCAATCCAAAACTTTTTTCATATTGAAAATACCTGAAAACTGGACTTGATAGAGGTAGACAGGACTGCCTGGCCTTGGGGAACAGTTGAAATTATTGCATTCAAGAGATAAAGGAAATATTGGATTCAAGATATAAAGGAAACTTTTACAGCCAGCAAGATTTTGTGTGATTCCTTGTGTTTTGTTGTGCCTGTTCCACAGCAGGGACACAGCTTTTCGGGTAATTATCTAGAGCAAAACTTTTCTCCCCCAGCTCCAGCAGAGGAGGAGCTCTCAGGAGGAGTGGCAGGAGCAGGATCAGGTACTCCCCGTGCTCAGGGAACAGCACTTGGCTGTTACAGAAGTGACAGGTGGTTCTTCAAACGAGGAAAGAACCTCATTTGTTCCACCAGCCAGGCTTGCCTGCTAGAGAAACCCTACTCATGTGTCTACAAGGGCTGAGGGAGCTCTCATGGCACTCTGGAACCATCTCCAGGTTGAAATCACTCCGTCTTTTATCTCAGTATGAGCACAGTTCTCTTCTACGTGTGGAACTTAAATGTTCAACTGAGGAATTGGAGGGAATGTGAACAAAAGACTGTGGGGACAGTCTGGTGTTTCTTCAGAGGAACTGGGGAAGCTGCAGGAAGAGCAAAACAAGGGGATGAAGGCTTCCAAAAACTTGCCAGTTTTAGTAAGAGCTTCTTTATCTGTGCTGGAAGGAAGAAGCTCCTGGGAGGATTGTCTCTCATTACCACATGGTTCTGTTTAAAGGAGGAAAGAGCTTGTGGAAGGGCGCTGCTGGTGTGATCCATCAGCAGTGTGTGTGTGTTCCTCAGAGTGAGGAGCTTAGAGCAGGGACCACCACACCTGCACAGGTGCAGCTGCTGGGGAGGATTTGCCTCTTTGTAAGAGACACTTTGGGGTGTACGGTCTGAGACACAGCAGAGACCTCTATAGTCGAGTTAGGTGTTTGTAGTTTATTTCAGGGTGTGGGGGAGAGAGAGAGCCTGCTATGAACCAGCAGATAGAGCTCAAAGCAGGCTCAGAGAGAACAATACAAAAGGGGGTAAAATATGAATACGTGAGCTCAGGACTTAAGATTGCTAAGAGAGAGAGTAACAGAACAGAAGTGAGAGCTGGGAAAAAGAGAGCAAGCTCTCCTGTACAACTACTTATATAACCTATACCTTTGAATATTCTATTCCTTCACTAACCAATCTTTCTAAGTGTACTAATACAGTAACATTTGTGTGTGATCTATAGAAATCATTGTTTTTGCATATTTTTAGTTATCTCAGGGTCCTCCAGACCTTTCCTTATGAGGCTGGGGAGAGGGGTCTCAGCTTAGTTTTACTGGGGGACAGAATGTGTTCTGGCATACCAGACCAGTTTCTCTGAATTATTCAAACCGTGCTTTCATTTGTATTTCTTCCTTAGCCCTTCTGGCTAAAGAGTCATATTTATAATTTCTTTCTAATTCTACCTTCCCAACACCTCTTGTCCCTGCTGCAGGCAGTGGCTGGGTGCCAGCTGTCCCCTGTGTGCCCACAGCCCGCGTGGAACGCGTTTGTCCGCGCTGCAAAGTGAGCGGGGTCTGAAACGGGGAAATCAGAGAGCCACAAAGATGTGTGTGAGGAAAATCTGCATGGATAAAGGAGCTTGGTTTTGTCCTCCTTCCTTGTGCCCCAGGAGCAGCCTGCTGCCTGAGCAGAGGTTACCCTGCAATCTGCAGCTTTCACTCTTTCTCTCTGCTGCCCCTATTTCCTGGTGTTTTATCTACAGAGTGGGCTGGGAGAGTCTCTTTAGTTGCAGGGTAGGGGGAACTTCAGCAAGTAAATGGGGCCAGTCTAAATAAAATTCAGCATTAAGTTTGATTCTAATCCATGTCTAAATTTTAGAACGTGGTTTCCAGCGTTACTCAATCACTTTAAGTGCTGTTTCACCTAAATGCATCTGTTTTCCTTCTATAATCATACACTTGTTTATTCATTTTTCTCTTTGCTCTCTGAATGGACAAATGTTGCATAAAAAGCTGGTGTGAAATGCCAAGAAAAACTATTTCCCAAGAAATAATGTGATTTTTAACATCAGTTCCTGGCAGGCTGTCCCATGTGGAATTATTATGGTATCTTTAGCACCACAATTGACATGTTTAATAATTTTCATTGTGTGTTTGGGTCCCTTTGATGGCTGATGATTAAAGCAAGATTATAAGGTAGAATACATTTGCTTTTGAACACACAAAAAACACAACTTTCCCTTTCCAGATGCATTCATTTTAACTCTGTTTAGCATTCTCTAAATCTGTGGTTATTTATTTTTTCTTTTGAAATGCACTTATTGTTCTATTTCAAGAATGAATCGTATTCTATTGCTACCCCAAAATATAAGATAACAAAAAATGGTAAAAATTATTGCTTGTAATCTACTATTACAGGCAATCCAACCTGCCAAAACACAATTGCCATTTAATAAGGTGGTTTTTTTGAAAGAAGCCCTGTGAATACTCCATGAAAACTGAAGTCGCCCACAAATTCTGTATTTAAAAGACAGTGCTTCCTTTTAACCAGCCATAGTTTGTTGTAAATGACAAAAAAAATCCAATGGCATCTCTCTCCTTTTCTTTGTCAATCCTTGCAGTCTCCGTGGGCATTTAGATCACTCTGATGTGGGGCCTGGATAAATGTGGCATTTGCATTAGATATTGTCAAAGGCAGTGCTCAAAGGGGAGTAAATCAGAGATGTATTTCAGGAGGAGGAAAATCCTGGTACTACTTAAAAGCATTTCAGCAGAGGATTTTTTTATTTTTGTTCTTTTAGTCTTATGAATGCCACTGTTTCTGTTTTATGACAGAACAGAAATTTGGGGAGAAAGGAAATACGAGACTTGATTTCTTTACAACAATGTGTAAAATTTCCTCACTGGAAGCACCCATGGAGCAAATTCAAAAGTGCCAACATCATATTCAATGCTCAGTCCCAGTGACCAAAAATCTTACGCATTTCTGATTGCAGTAATTAGATTTTAATAAGTAATTGCAGGATGTTTGGTGTTTTTAAAAAAGAAAGTGTGAAGGATCAGAGGGCTTCTTCTTTGAAGAACAGTTTAATCTATTTGATCATATGGACTTCTGGTTTGGGGTGGCTGTTTTAAAACATCCCAGGTAGTGGGGAGTCAGGGAGACAGAAAACCTTTAACTGCTCAGTCTCCTGGCTCCAGCTCTGAAAATGAAGGAAAGACAAGGGCTCTCATCTGAAAACACGGCTCCACACCCAAATAATGCAACCTTTAAAAGTGTTTTCCATAAAATTCCTTTTTTGATTTCTCTATTTAAGCTACATTGAGCATAACACAGCCTGGGCAGGAAACAGCAGAGAAACCAAAGCTGAGCTCCCTCAGAATTTCTGCTGCTGATCCTTACTTTGGTGGCAAATTATTTCATATTTTTGGCTGAATTTTTTATCTGTACACACAGATGAAGGTGTGTACCCCCTCACCTTGAAGGATACAGCAACTCTGTAAAGTTACTTAGCTGGGGGGAAAAAGAAAGAGTTACCTACAGCCTACTCCAAATGTGTGCAGTCCTGATGCCTTGATACATTATTGTATGGAATTCGTCCCTGTTTTATTCCCTCAAATTAGTGCTGAATGCTGACTGACCATACCATTGACACATCTTTTTTTTCTCTCCCAAAAGCACACAAAAGAAGTGGGAAGGCCACAAACCCCTTTGAAAGAAACAACCTTGGAGCCCTGGACTCAGCCACAGGTAGGCTGGAACAACTTTTCTGATCAATTCTTTTTCTGTAGTGGTGGTTTCTGTAAGTATTCATGGAAATAATCTGCAAAGAAATGTTGCAACAGGTTGCTCTGTGGTTCTTCTATCACAGGTCAAAATGATTTGATTTGGTTTTGGCTGCCCAGACTATTGGTGGTGCCCTCTGAGGTGAACCCTGAGCCTCTCTCTAAGGGAAAAATGCCAGTATTGTCTTGCCTTCAGCTTGTGCTTAAAAAAATTTTGCAGAACTTGACAAAACAAAACTACTTTGATGGTTTGATTGGTGTGTCCATAAACTGTGGGCATCTGGTATAGAAATGAAGAGGTGGATGTTTGTTATTTTGAGAGGGAGGTTTGAGACCTCAACCTTTTGCTTCGTGAGGACTTAACTAAGAATAAAGCAATAATTAATTATGCAAAAAAAGTGATAAAAAAACATGAATATTAATATGTAATCTTTAACACAGAATGGGTTTGAATGTTTTGGCATTTACTTGAGCGAATTGTTTGATATAATTTTTTTCTGTGCAGGATTCCAGAGCTGTTTTTGCTGTTTGTTCCCCGTGTATCAGAGCACTGTACTGCACACGGGATATGTGGCTTCAGGGGTGGTGTGAGGGATAGAAAGAAGCAGTGAAATACAAAATCCTAGAAGTTGGGTTTGCTCTAGAGGCCTCTTCACTCCCAAAACTTGTGGGAAATACGGTGTGGGGATGGACAAACCCTCAGAGCTGTGTTCAAGGCTGGGTGCATTTCCCTCTGCTGGGTGCGATGCTGGCTGTGCTCCGGGACAGTTTGTGGAGCTGATTAAACACTGGGGCTCTCAAGTGATAAACTCATCCTGCAGTCACAGATACCTGGTGTTTATGGCTGTGCACGCAGGGAGGAGATGTCTGTCTGTAAAGGGAAGTCCCTCAGCCACTGCTGTCCCAAGCACAGGATTTTCCCCCTTTCCCAAATAAAATCTCCCAGGTACAGCAGGGTGGGTCACGGCCAAAGCTCCCAAACCCTGCATGCAGGGAGCTGCTGCTGGCAGCAGTGGAGCCCCATGGATCTGTGTGTGCAGTCAATAATGTTTATGAGCAGTCCTGCAGGGCTGGCCCTGCTCCTCCGTGTTAACCCTTCACGTGCAGGAACAAACTGGGGGGAAAGGGCTGATGTACATCAGAGCAGCTGGTGGAGCACTGGGGCTGCTGGGCTCCTGTCTCCTCCCCTACAGCGTTTCCTCACCTGGGGCTGGGGCTGGGTTCTCTGAGAGGATTTTGGCCTCTGAGTTCAGAGGAATTGCTGAAGCAGCCTGGTCCTGGGGTTGCTGTTTAGTGGGGCGCTGGTGTGTGACCGTGGGTGTCAGAGGTGGATTTGGCAGCCACTTTTCCTTGGTGGTTTGTGTGACTGTTGCCAGCAGTCCTGTCAAGGAAATATCCTGTTCCTGACGGGAATCCTTGTTCTTGCTGAGTATACAGACCATCACCCTGTTGTTTGATCGCTTCTGAAAGCTGCATTTGCCACAGCTTTACTTAACAACCACAACAATTAAAATTCATGAAATATTTTTGCCATTCCTATTTACTTTTTATTTAAAAAATAGTCTGTTTTCTAAAACAAATACATACAAAGAAGCTAACGCTAATATGCTTTTTTTATTTCTTGGAGAGAAGAAGTGTAATCAACAAAATCAAAAACTGCTGGAACCATTATTGTAGCAGAAAATTAAATTAGTTGTTAATTCTTTCGTGGATGTAATTCTGGCCACTGCAAATCCCTCCTTAGGTATTTTGTATAAAGTGAGTAAAAATTCATGGCATGGATAAAAGCTTTGTCTATTTTATGAGCAACAGGCAAATGATCCAAATGGTGCTCATAAAGCAAATGGTTCCCAACTCTAAAAGGAGGAGAAATGTATTTAAAGGCTGCTGGAATGAACCACGAGCAAAGCCAATTCCTCTCTACAAAAAGGTGTTACTTCCATCAAAGTTTTTTGAATCCCCCACACGGCACACAAGGGAGAGACTCGCTACTTGTGTCTACTTAATAATAACAATAAAAAGATCATTTTGTGTGCTGGGGCTGCTGAGAGCTGCTGTGGGATGAGTTCTGTCAGCAGGGAGAGGATGGAGCAGCCCAGAGCAGGGTTTGTGTGTGGGGCCAGGGGGCAGGGAGCCACATCTGGCCCTGGAGAGCAGCAGGGGACAAGCTGGTCCCCATCAGCAGCAGGGCAATTTCACACAGAGCTTCCAGGCTGGGAGCACGGAGCAGGATTTGTGTGCCCAGGGAAGGAGGGATTTGTGCTGCCAGGGCTGCTCTTCTTTACTCGAGGCTGGGTCTTGGAAGCAGCCAGGTTTTCCTGGGAACTTTGAAGCAGCTCTGCAGTTTGGCAAGAAAAGAGGAGCTGTAGTGCTCTGTCAGGCTCGTTTCTTCCTCTGTGTGGTGGGGTGTTTGTTCCTGGTTTTACAGTTGTGTTTTTAGGGGGTTTTGGTTGGGGTTTATTAAGTTCACAGAGCGGTATGACATTGACATTGCAAGAAATCTTCTTTCCACGGCCGTGCCTTTTAACTCACAGTTTTCTGCATCTTTTTCTCTGTGAACTCAGTGAATGGAAACTGATGTTACTGCCTGGAAAATAAAATATGAGAGACTTGTTCCGATAAATTTGGGACAAGACCTTTGCAGATAAGGAACATGTGTGGGAGTAGTTGCCCAAATAGACTTGTCATTGGTTTACAAGCTTTATTTAAATGCTAAATACCATGTATTCCTGTGGTTATGTTTTTTTGCTGCTTTGCCTGATTAAACATTTAGCTGATAAACCCTGTCAAGGCTGTTCAGAGCTACTGTGGGTAAGATTATGTATTTATAGCCTCTAAATTTACAGTCCATTATAAACAGGACAATTTAAAATCAAAGTAATCTGTGATTGTTTAAATTTTTGAGGTGTCTGGTGCTGAATTTTTTGTGGCAGTGACACAAAATAATATCGGTCACCATGGTTCTGAATCAGAAACAAATTGTTTGTTCCAGATTTTGGCAAGGTGGGATTGTCCTCCCAGGTAACAACTGGATGAGACAGGGTGAGAGGAAATGGCCCAAAGGTTTGCCAAGGTTTAGATGAGATAGCAGGAAAAACTTCACTGAAAACATTGGAATTAGGCTGCCCAGGGAAATGGTGGAATCACCACGTCCTCTCCAACCTTCAAACCTCTAGGATTCAATAATTTCTAGGAAGTTGAATCTGGAAAGAGACAACAGGGATTTACCATTTTCTAATTGAAAAGGAACAATGCTTAAGTTTAAACTTCAGTAGTGGCAAAAAGTGAGGTTTGCCAGCATGACAGGTACAACAAAACTCCCACTCTTCAGTTGTAGAATATTTCTGATTTTTTTTTTTTTTTTGGTGACTCCTACATCACTGTCTATTGTATGTCTCTCTGAAATACTTCATACAAGTAGTTGCTAGAGGTGTTCAACAGGGTAAAATGTGAGGTGCTGGTGCTGTAGTTTTTTATTTATTAATTTTAAGAGTGTTTTTAGTTGCTAAGATAATGGTTACAAAGCCAGCATACAGCTGCATCAATCTTCCTGGCCTAAATGCAGCATAATTAATGAACATATTAATTTATCCCCTCCCCTCATGCTCTTCCTCCTTCACTATTCACTCTGTCAGTGGAAAGTGAGACAATGATGAGCCTCTCCTCGAAGTTCTCTGGGAGGGTTGAGTGTCTGAGGACGATGATTTTCACACTTGTGTGTGTTACAAGAAGCTTCATCTCACACCAACAGGGCTTTATGGTAATAAATGTAGCTGGGGAATTCCACAGCACTGAGCATCACGAGCAGGAGCAACAAGATCCAGGCCAGATCCAACCCTTTGTGTCTCAAAAGCAGAAGAGGATTCTCCTGGATCTGTAGTTTTATTTTCTCTTTATTTGTGCACAGGGCACAGTCCATTTTTATTTATATATATATATTTTTAGCAAAATTACTTTTTCTGGAAAGTCAAAACCACTCAGACTCAAATCTAATTACAAATGATAGAGTGTAGGTTTTTTTTTTGCTCAATTTTAAAGAATCACTTTATAATCTTGGAACAGTGGATAACAACATCACTAATCCAATATTTTAGCAGTAAATACGTTTGATGATGGGAATTGCTACACTAATCTTATATCCCTCCACAGTATAGTTAAGAAATCCACAGGGGGTTTTGCTAATCAGTTTTTGTAAAGTAAATCAAGTCATGTAATTCTCATTCCCTCCAAATGCCCGGCGATGCAGGCACAGCCATGTGCGGCACTTTTTGTTCTTTTCATCGGTTTTGAACCCTAATCTGCAGCCAGGCTTTCCCCTGAGCATTTCTGCAGAGAAAAGTCTCCAAGCACCCTCTGACAGAGATGTCTCATTAGGGGAGCTGGCAATTCACCTTGTTCCCCTCACCTCCTGCTCACTGGCAAAAAGCTGCCAATAATAAATATAATCCAACCACATTTGCTGCTCTACTTCTGATAAATATGCTTGAAGGTACTTATTTAGGCACTCATTTTATTGACAAGTGAGATATATTGCAATATGGCTTGTGGTTTGATCTTGGCTTTAAAAACATTCCAAGTTAAAATAGGTTGGTTTTTTTTTAAATTATAAAAAAAGTGTTTTAAATTAAGAATAAATATTAGCAACTGTGGTTAAATATTTGAAGAGAAGCAATTAATGAGGATTCTGTGGCTATTTTGTTCCCACAGTTTGTAGGTATTGAATTATTGTTCATGGAGTCCTGGTGTGCTCTGTTTGCTTGGGTCACAGCTTGAGCCTTTAGGACTCAAAACCAGTCAAAGTCAGAGTGAAAACAAAGCTTTATTGATGGTTTGGTGTCTTCAATACAAACTAGCCATCTAAACAGATTTATAGTCTATTCACACCTAGCTTAAATTCAGTATTTAGCATCTGTGTCCTCAAAATATTCCCATTTTATTTGGTGCCTTAATCAATTCAAATATTCC